TCTCGAAATTTTACGTTTCTCAGTTAAAATAAGTGAAAAAGAGGTTTTTGTTCATAATTTGACAGATGAAATTGCGAATATCGAACCGGAAATGGATGTCTCGGAATTAAACGGAGAAGAAACAACGAGAAACTACGAACAGAAATGCAGAAATAAGAAACTGATAGGAAAACACCGCCAACAGAAATGAATGGTCATGGGGCTAATACATGAAAACTTTGTTTCTTAATGTCCGCGTTCGATTCAGAATTTTCTCTATTCTGACTGTCAGTATCGCAGACTCCGACAAAAATAGATCACCTAATACGTTGTCCTGGCTGAATGTGAGGGACGTCTTCTTTCGGGTTTCGAAGCAACATTAAATATTATTTAAAACGCATTTACTTCTAAGCTTTCCTGTTTATTATTTTTTAAATGTTACTAAAGGATGAAAAGACTTTTTCATTAGCTAAATAAATTGTATGAATATTACTATATTGAGATGATAAAGTTGCGTCATATTGTGATAAATATATATTTGTTTAAATCTTGTCAGTCAAATCACAATAAAATTCCTATTAAATATTAAAATATTACTAAAATTAACATTTAAATATTTAAAATGATGTTCTCTATCGAAATGTTCGATTTACATTAGATCATCACTTTTTACACGACGTGTTTCAGTTCTAAAGGAACCATCTTCAGGTGTATAAAATTATATAAACTTAAATATAATTTCTTAAATGCAACTTTTAGTCAGATGTTTATCAGATTTCAAATGATGTTTTCTTCCAGATTTTATTGTATTTTTTTTAAAATATTACTAAAATTAACATTTAAATATTTAAAATGATGTTCTCTATCGAAATGTTCGATTTACATTAGATCATCACTTTTTACACAGTGTTAATTTTAGTAATATTTTAATATTTAATAGGAATTTTATTGTGATTTGACTGACAAGATTTAAACAAATAAACAAAATTAAACAAATTACTATATTTGTTACGGATTTATTTACCTATATTTTGTTATATTCTTGGGTTTTTGTGGGACGGAATGGGTCTCATTCGGTCAACTGCCCTAGGACAAGTTTTGTCACTCCACGCTCCTAGGGCCAACAAAATAAACGTACGGAGGAAAACACTACATCGTGATAACATATTTATATATTCAAGGAGTAGGCATATATTAAATTCCAGAGAACGTGTTATAGATTTCTCTGTCCCGAAATGGAGTTTGTCCCGCTATTGGAGCTGTTTGGAAGGCCCGACAATATACTAATTTACCAGCATAACATTTACCGTGTTCGTAAACAATAGGAATTTGTAAATTATTCAAACATACCGGCTGAATTTGGTGCGAAAATCTAACCGGCTCATTCTTTGCAATGATAATATAATGGCGAAGAGAAAAAGTTCCCGTGATCTGGACTCCGTTGTCGCGCTCTGTGACTCATGTTATGGAGGTGAGTGTTCCGACACCAAAATCCCGTGAACTGGGGCTGGGATCTGATTTGTGAAGATGTTTTCTGTAGACTCTAGTTATGTGCATTCAACCGTGAAGGAAACCAGATTGTAATTCCATACTTTTACGGCGTTATCTTACTGGTGAAATGGAAAGTTACTTTCAGCATATTCATTGCTCGTTACTTTGCTACTCTACCTGCTCACAGGCACAGTTCAGGCTCTGTAATAAGGTAAATTTATCTTACTACTAAGAACAGAATCGGGGCATACTAAAGATAAGTCTTGTGAAGTCTCTCTCTTTCGCATTTGAGCCACCCTAATCTTCCCGATTCCTAGACCAGCATCTGTTGACGGAATCACTGAGGTATAACTGTTACATTTGACGAAAACGCCACTGTCTAACCTCTGGTGAAAAGTTATTTGGGCAAAATATGGTTTCACTCAGTCAGTCATTTGGATTAAGATTAATTTAGTTTGAAGCTGTAGTTAGATTTATTCGGTGTGACAAGAATGTGGAGTAGGCAGTGTAAATTTAATCGACATCAATTTAACCATGAATCCAATATTTTAAATATGTATAAATACAATTGTTGGTTTTTGTTTGAACTAACATATTAGTTATATAATTCCACGTAAACTGAGGCCTGGCGAGCGGTATGCTATACCACATTGTGACGTGTCTTCGCGTCGTGTTCTCAGGGCGTCAACAATGAACCCTGGAAGCCTGCGTCTATCTCACTACAAGTTTAATTATCCAACTTCTGAAGTTTTCTGAAACTGAACAAATACAAGACTCTTAAGACACCAATAAAATACGACTTACAAACTGAATTTTCCTGAATTTTGATACCGACATAACCTCAACAAAACAGAAATTGAAAAACACTACGTGTGCTGTAATGCTTCAGCCATTTTTTGTCATGGCGTGTAAGAATATGTTTCTGAACGAATACAAAGCAGCGATAAAATTATACTGTGGGGGGAGTGGGGCGAAGGACTAGGAGAGGTAACCTGTCGCAATGCCACTCTGCTAACCCACATGGATTGCTCAGGGGTCTGATGCCGGACCTGCGCCGTGAGAATCCGCCCGACTAACCCACCTGGGATATGGAACGGCCTTTGAAACTTATGACTTGAAATGTGATGTTATGTCTTATGAGTTCTCTGTTTTGAAACTTGCATTTTCTTTCCGGTCTTAACAGAAATATAAAACCAAGCATCCGGAAAGAGAAAATGACAAACTTCGGGTAACAAAATGAGGATGGTTCTTTAGAACAGAGAACAAAGGGCAAGAACAAGAAAACTAAGCTACCTAACGACCTCATAAAAACGGGGGAGAGAACACAAAACTCGTAAGACATAACCTAAAACAAGTTCGGCAAATGCGCTCCGGAAGTAGTTGATCCATGGAATATTTTAACGTCACAGTGTACAGTTCTAAGTCATAGGTCTCAAATAAACTTTGCATATTAATTTACCATACACTGTACTTTTAGAAGGGAGTAAAATTATTAATTTGAACACCATTTCTATTGAAAACAGTTGCTAGAGCCTCTGAAGGTGACCAACAAAAGCTAAAACGTATAGGTCGTTAAGCAGTGTTAGTGTTCAAATAATGTATTTATATTTTTATATTTTAACAAGTATATTGTTTTAATAATGACAGTATGTGTCATAAACCCAGTTTGAAAGTAAAGACATATCTGAACAGCCCAATAGAAAAATAATTCAGTTCGTCTATTAGAGTTTTGAGTATTAGTCCTTTAAAAAATGTAATGCTTTTTGCAACAGAGATTTCTGAATGACAATGATGGAGTTAGGCATTAATTAAGCCGAGAAGAATTATATAATTACAGTAAGTCTAATTTTTTTTTGGTATGAACACTTTCTGTACACGTACGGATTCAAGTTACCTTGGTTGTGTTGGTATTGTGTGAGGAAGAGTCATTAGAATCCAGACTCACTGAGCGCCCACAGCCTTCCAGGTACATAAATGATGCGCCCTTCACTTTTCAGAAGCCTAAGGCAGAAATACTTAAACTGCGGTGTGTACTTCATTGGTGAAGCTTTGTTTGTGTAATCATGGAAGTGTGACTTTTCAGAAGCGACACGATTCCGGAATTAATTTACTGATGGCGGTAATTACGTTTTCGTTAAACAAGTTTTCTCTGAAGGAACAACACTCCGCTAATGGTCATGGCCAGTTCAGCCTTCAGAGCATGTTGTGATGCATGACGTAAAAGGCGTTGTCTCTGGTGTGGAGCAAATAGCAGTACCTAATCACATCGACCAATCGTTACGTCTGGTGCCCAATCCCATTAGCTTTGCCGTTGCAGAGAACAATGTCGGAGGACGCATCACAAATAGATGCGTTTCCTACACGGATGTAATTACTAGAATATAAACAAATGTCACTACCAAAATGGAAACTAAATTAGTTTCAAGTTTAGTTTCGGTTTTAATTTGTGTAATGCGCAGAATGTAGCAGTTAAACATCTTCGTAGAATTAAAAAAAAATTGTCAGTGTGTTAGGTCAGGATGACTAGTTAAAAAGTCTTCTGACTTTCTGGTAATTTCATTTTCGCGTGGTTTAAACTTTTTCGAAATTAGGTCCCTGCGACAAAGTCACGAAGGACGTACCACTAACGAGAATTAGATTGGGTTACATTTTAAACTGTCTGTCTCCTGGGTTGTTGCGCCGTGTAGTCTGGTAAAACTCTACAGACGTATTAGAGGTGCTTACTGCCTCCATCATCAGGGCGATCGCAACAACCCAGAAGACGTCTTCATCACACCCGCCTCCTTGAGAACCTGAAATCTCACTAGATTTCATTTCATAAGGACGCAATATTTTAATGCTTAAACTTATTTCATATTTTATGTGTTTTTGTTACTTGGGCCCATATTATTTGCAGCAATAATCTATTAACCGACAAAAGCACACAATTATTATGGCGATTATAGTATTTATTAATATGTTTAATGTTAAATCGTATTTTACTTGAATTATATAATGACGTATTAATGACGCGCCAGAACAGAATAGGCGATTTCTTTTATAAGAGAAAAACTGTTTCATAATGACATAGTGTGTTGGATTGCACTTCATTAGTTAGTGGCATTTTCTGAAACAAATTATGTAAATATGACACAAAAAAGTATTAAAGACTTAGGTAAAAATAATTGTTCACGCTAAATAAGTAACATAATATAACAAATTACAAAGAATGCTCATGCCGAACAAATTTACAGCGTTTCAAAAAGATGTATACACAAAATGGCCTTCTTTTGGGCTGTGTAGTCTGGTAGAACATAATCAACGTTTTGGAGCTCCTTCCTGCCTCCATCGTCAGACTACACGGCACTACAACCCAGAAGACAGCCATCTTCGGACGCAGAGCCATTAAAATCTCAAAACCTACAACATGTATACACATTATAATACGAAATATTAACCTTGTGTGTATATATCTTTTAGGGACGTATATCCAGAAATTGATTCGGGTCTTCGAGCAAGATTATGTTACCCCCGAATCGGGCGCTACTTACCGATGGTGGTGAGAACGGTGGTAGCGTAGTAGAAGGCTCCGGCGAACTTCCACTGTTTGCCCGCCTTGTGGGGCTCCGTCTTGAGCACCACTGTCTCCATCACCCGGAAGTCGTCTTCCGATATGTTGTACTTTTTGATCACCATTTTCTCGAGCTCTGTAACGGCCGACCACGTCAGTTACACAAGAAGAGGCACTGATAACTGACAAGAATATTCACTTCTGCCAAGCACTAGACCGGGTTGACCCGCCGAAAACCTTTCAGTGATTTCAGAGATGAAGCATATCGCATTATATCCGCCTGTTATACGCACGTGGTGCAAAGACGCGTAAGAATGTCTGCACGAAGCTCCTGTCTGTCTTCTTGTTAACGTGAAAAGCACAGGACAGCGAAAGAAAGATTACGTACGTATGTGAGTAATCACCAAGCCATTAAGACGTATGACGCACGATGTATTCTTAATGTCCGCACCAGATGGAGTTGAGCGGGCAACTCCACGTTCTGGCCGCTTTACCCCGATGAAAGTTACCCGGCGAGCAGAATACTGGGTGGACCCCAGAGGTGCTTAGGACATGATAGCGAAGAGAAAAATCCCAGACGGTCGTCCAGCCCATTGCTACGACTTACTGACAGACGTTATAGTCTGGTTTCTTTAATATATTTAACGTGCAACTGAGTATAATTTGAAACCATTAATCATTCAGTGCTGACTAGACTAGAATAATACTCATTAAGCAGAAACAGTACACAGGTTGAGTTTCTACTACGCGAACAATAACAAAGCATTTCACTCGATGCTACTTTGCTTTTGGAGGGACGGACTTTATGCTCGAAAAGCCGTGCCATATCTGATTTGCTAACTTACTCTGGGCCTTTGTCTTTGATGCAACTCAACAGAAATAAGAAATTACCGGATAAATTAATGATGTATTAAGGCATTTCTCTAAACAGAGCCGCTAACGAAATTTACCTACAACACCTACACAAAGGCCGTGTATTTTGGGATCTATTCATGAGCATGTCACGACCATGTTCAAGAAACCGTGTCCCTTTCATGGACAAGACGTACAGTAACAAAAACTCGAGAGTGAGAAGAGGATATAAACCCATATTTGTGGAAATATAATTATAAATTAATGACTGCGGGCTCCATGAACCAGAGCAGTTGAAGTGTGGCGTATTCCCAGATCAAAGCAACTTAGTGCGACAAGAAGGAATTTTCTCTGTTCCAAAACTTTGTTGGGGCACAGGCCCCATAATGTTCGTGCACAGTAGACCTGCTTTGTTGTTTAATGGTACATACGTTTATACGGAACTTAACTACAAAGAATGTGCGCGAATATTAATGCAACAAGCGAGGTAACTGTAAAAACTTTAAAAAAATTAAAATGCAATTAATGTTTTTTGTTAACAGTGTATATGCATACTCTAAACACATTCTCAATACAGGACATGCTTACAACACAATTGATGAAACAATGGACATATTAAAAATAGTAAAAAACAAAAGACACAGAGATACAATAGAAAAATATCACATATATCAAACTTATAAACAAAACATATGCCTTAATGATAATAATATTTTACTTAACAACCCCATTTTTAATGCACTCCAGTACCTTGACC